ATACATATCTATCTAACAGACTATTCTTCTCTTGAGGAAATATCTGTATCAGTGACTAAAATCTAAGCATTTATAGTGCTTCCTGCCACCATTTCTAAAGAGAATACAATTGCTGATATAGTCCTATACTTTATTTTTATTACATGAAAGTTGCTAAACTTTTGATGTATGCACATCTCTTTGATATGCAGACATGGAGCCCCTAGCTATTCTTCCAGCCTAGACAAGAGATTTTGCAACAGAGCTTGGAAAAATTACTTCTCTGCGATATACTAGGTTGCAAAAAGTACCCAAAATACTGTTTTTAAGTTTTGTTTTGGAATTGTGCATCCAAAGCAAAAGTGTTGGTGCTGATGTCTCCAACCCTGGCATCTTATGTTAGAAACTTTAGGTAGATTGGGTTGTTGTAGGTTTTTTCGGGCTGTATGGCCATGGTCGAGAGGCATTCTGTCCTGACGTTTCGCCTGCATCTATGGCAAGCATCCTCAGAGGTAGTGAGGTGATGTTTGCCATAGATGCAGGCGAAACATCAGGAGAGAATGCCTCTAGACCATGGCCATACAGCCCGAAAAAAGCTTACAACAACCCAGTGATTCCAGCCATGAAAGCCTTCGACAATACATTAGATAGATTGTTCAATATATGGTAAAGGTATGTTTCATGAATCTGTCCATTAAAGACAAATACTGGATCCTACCCACAAAGTTTAGAGCAGTGATTCCCAACCTTTTTTTGACCAGTGACCACTTTGACTAGGGACCACTTTCCAACAATTGTACCAAAAGGGTAACGAATCAGTTTTTGGTCAACTTCAGATTTGGTTTGGTTATTTGGGGTGCTGATTCAGAAAATTGCATTGGATAGACCACGTCAACTCTTGTTTCTCATACAGAACATATGCCATCCAGTAATCGCCATCTGCTCGCCCACAGAAAACCATATCTAGTAAGTCTCAGCACTATAAGAGGGTTTCACAAGACCAGTTGCTCTCATTGTAACAGTGTAGTAATGGTGAGGCCGCAGACCATGTTTTAGTTCTTGGGGACCACTGGTGGTCCACGGACCACAGACTGGGAACCACTGGTATAGACCAAGGCAGAAGGTGGCAGAGAAAGCAAATTTCAAATATCATCACAACTCCACAGGTTCCTTGAAGTATGGCATTATGAATGGAGTTTTGGATTTACAGTAAATAGGGAAAATCCCTTTGCCACTTGGGGAAAGGCTGACTCAGTAACTGATGGAGAAGAGACAGAGAGAATATCTGTTTGGTTTCATCTATTGACTGTTCTGTTTGCAACTTTGAGAAATAAATATCCTTTTTTGATGTTCAGAACTTGTAATAGACTCAGTTACTGAGAATCTCAATCTTCTCAAGAAAAGCACCGGCAGTTCGCCCAGACATAGGGAACAGCACATCATAGTTTTGTCTTTAAAAGCGTCTGGGTGTAACGGCACACTATCCATATAGTAATGTCCCATTTCTATGCATATTGGGTACCCTAAAATAGATGTGACTAGTGAACACCATTAAATATTACGATTTCCATGGTTTCTCTCTAGGTATTCTCTTTAGGAAGGCAATTCTATGGTAACTTCCAGAAGAAGTGCACTATAGAATTGCCTGGGGAACCTAGCAAATTCCGAGAGAGTTCGTCCTCCCCACCCCTGGTCCAGGCAAGTGAAACCATAGATATGGGTTCTGCAGTTATGGAGCTTTTACTGTACATATAAATAAACTGTGGAACTTATCTTCTGTTCTCAATTACTTTCAGTGAAATGTGTGTTCAAATTTGTATTCCCATTATCAAGTAGAAGGCATTGTACCTTTAAAAGGTACACAGCTGAACATATCTCCCATTGCTATCTCATATAGATAGTAAAAGAGACAAATGGCTTCTTCATTCCCACATGCATTCATATTTACAAATACGTATGTAGTTCCTATTTCAACAAATAATATGTTAAATGTATTGTCAAAGGCTTTCATGGCCAGAATCACTGGGTTGTTGTGAGTTTTCCGGGCTGTATGGCTATGTTCCAGAAGCATTTTCTCCTGATGTTTCCCCTGCATCTATGGCAGGCATCCTCGAAGTTGTGAGGTCTGAGGATGCCTGGTCACAACCTCTGAGGATGCCTGCCATAGATGCAGGCAAAATGTCAGGAGAGAATGCTTCTGGAACATGGCCATACAGCCCAGAAAACTCACAACAAACCAAATATGTTGTGTGGTGTCCAGCATCAAGATATGCATCTTCTTCACTTGATGGGCCAGATGGATAATGATGGCAAATCTTGCTTATCTAAAAAAACAAGGCCTATCAAATGATGTATTGTCAAAGGCTTTCATGGCCGGAATCACTGGATTGTTGTAGGTTTTTTCGGGCTATATGGCCATGGTCTAGAGCAGTGTTTCTCAACCTTCCTAATGCAACGACCCCTTAATACGCTTCCTCATGTTATGGTGACCCCCAACCATAAAATTAGTTTCGTTGCTACTTCATAACTCATTTTGCTGCTGTTATGAATAGTAACAGATTGGGGGAGGGTATTGATTTTTTCCTGTGGGAGTTGTAATTGCTGGGATTAATAGTTCACCTGCAATCAAAGAGCATTCTGAACTCCACCAACGATGGAACTGAATCAAACTTGGCACACAGAATTCCCATGACCAACAGAAAATACTGGAAGGGTTTGGTGGGCACTGACCTTGAGTTTTGGGAGTTGTTGGGAGTCTACATCCAGAGAGAACTGTAGACTCAAAAAATGATGGATGTGGACCAAACTTGGCACGAATTCTCAGTATGCCCAAATGTAAACACTAGTAGAGTTTGGGGAAAATAGACCTTGACATTTGGGAGTTGTAGTTGCTGGGATTTATAGTTCACCTACAATCAAAGATCATTCGAACCCTACCAAGGATTGAATTGGGCCAAACTTCCCACACAGAACCTCCATGACCAACAGAAAATACTGTGTTTCCTGGTGGTCTTTGGTGACCCCTCTGACACCCCCTCGTGACCCCTCCAGGGGTCCCGACCCCCAGGTTGAGAAACACTGGTCTAGAGGCATTCTCTCCTGATGTTTCACCTGCATCTATGGCAAGCATCCTCAGAGATGCTTGCCATAGATGCAGGCGAAACGTCAGGAGAGAATGCCTCTAGACCATGGCCATATAGCCCGAAAAAACCTACAACCCAAATGATGTATTACTTTTACATAGGTAAAAAAAATCAAAATATACAACAAGAGCAATAAGTGACAAAACATATTGATGTAAAACTATGCATCCACTGTTGCTAAGTAATACAACAGGAAAACTTATATGAACCATTCCCATTATTTCTGAATGTAAATATTTTGTGGAAGTCATCTACAACTACATTGTGGCTGATGTTATAAGCCCAAAATTAGTGTGTCAACACTGATATTAGTTGGATTCTAGTGACACTGCCAGTAATCACACAGTTTATCATGCCTTCACTAACAGCAACACTTTACTGGTGCACCTGTGTCAACACCGCTCAGAATGAGTCAGTCACCCTTGGTACAAGTACGAATTACCTTTCACATTTAGTTTGTCTAGGAGGCATAGGTCACATCTGGCAGAGTTACTGAGTCACTGCTCTAGGAATCTGAAACCACTGCTCCACACACTGAATCCCTTCCCCATTTCTTCCAAAATGTTCTATTTTACCAATAAAGGTCTGTCAACCTTAAGATTTAAAGATTTAAGCTTGAGGGGACTATAATTATTTCCCAGGGGCTGTCGAGATTTCTGCTGCTTGCGCGTTCATTGTTCCCATATGACTTTGTCATAATTTCCCCCCTCTGCCTCAGAGCTAGCGCAAGTTTTATTTTTCAAATCACTCTCCTACAAATTGAAAATGGGAATTCATACAACAAAGGTGAAATATATTTCAATGCCAATTATCAGTAGTAGTAGTAATAATAATAATAACAATAGTAATAATAATAATAATAATTTATTTATAGACCACCCTCTCTTCTCAAGGGGCCTCCAGGCAGTTTACACAAAAAAAGGGCAAACATTCAGTGCCCATAAGTGAATATAAACACCTCAAAATAATACAAAATAATAACCGTAAACTTATAACAAAGGAGAAATTAACTTCAAAATGAAAAACAGAATATGAGTAATCAAATAAACATAATTATGCTAATAACATAATTAACAATTAGAAGGCATGATCATCATGTTTGCAGACAACACCAAATTGGGAGGGATAGCCAATACCCCAGAAGACACGAGCAGAATTCAAAACGATCTTAACAGACTAGAGAGATGGGCCAAAACTAACAAAATGAACAGGGATAAATGCAAGACACTCCACTTAAGCAGAAAAAATTAAATGCAAAGATACAGAATAGGGGATGCCTGGCTCAAGAGCATTACGTGGGGAAAAGATCTTGGAGACCTCATGGACAACATGTTAAACATGAGCCAACAATGTCACACGGCAGTTTAAAAAGCCAATGGGATTTTGACCGGCATAATTAGGAGTATAGTGTCTCGATTCCACCTGAACATGAGGAAGAACCGTTCAACAGTGGAACTCTCTGCCTCAGAGTGCGGTATAGGATCCTTCTTTGGGGGGTTTTAAACAGAGGCTGGATAACCATCTATCAGGGGTGCTTTGAATGCAATTTTCTTGCTTCTTGGCAGGGGCTTGACTGGATGGCCCACAAGAACTATTCCAACTCTAGGATTCTATGACATAAACCCTAAGAGAATGATTAGAATACATAAAAATGGCTACCATGGTTGTTATTTAACATGTACAAATAGAAGGAATTGAGTAAGCTGGGTGACTAATATGGAGATTAAAGTGAGATTTTTCACTGAAAAGCAACTCTGCTATTTGGAAAGATAAAACACTTGAGTGTTGTTGTTTGTTTGTTTGTTTGTTTGTTTGTTTTGTAGCTAACCATAATGGTGTCAACTTATAATGTGTTTATTTGTTTCTTTTGTTCTGCAGGACCAGAATGCTCCCGAAATTTCACATCTATGAGTGGAGTGATCAGGTCCCCAGGTTTCCCTGAAAAATATCCCAATAGCCTTGAATGCACTTACATTGTTTTTGCACCAAAGATGTCAGAGATAATACTAGAATTTGAAAGCTTTGAACTGGAACCGGACTCAAATCCTCCAGGAGGCGTGTTCTGTCGCTATGACCGATTAGAAATCTGGGATGGATTCCCTGAAGGTAAGACACACAGAAAATGAGCTCCATGCCAAAAGATTACATTTCCATAGCATGACAAAGAGACCATGTTGTGTTTTAACATATGAGGCCTTGCCTTAAAAAGCAATGCTTTTGGGTTTGGAAAGATTAGCCGTTTACAAGAAACGTTGCCTGGGGGATGCCTGACTGTATTTACTCAGTCTTCAAGGAAGTTCTTTCTGTATCCCCTGCACTCCTTATATTTTTATCAGTTTTATACTAATTTATGCAATGCTTTTGATACAAAATAAATAAGGCCCTGCCTTGTCTTGAAACAAAGGCAGTTGAAAGTCAAAGATGGGGAATCATGTTAATTGTACAAGATACAATGCTTGAAATAGGCTCAAAAGTCCATTTGAAAAGCAATGTTATTGGAAACACAAAACTGCTGCAGAAAATACCAGTCCTGTATTGTTCCCCACACCCTTTATTAGATGAGATACAACTTTCCCCTTGTGTCTTAATATTACTAGACGGAACATTTCACTACCTCCATCAGTAGTAGTCAAGGATACAGAGTTGGAAAAACTTTCACAGCATAATGACATTAAGACATGAAGTCAATTGAAATAGATGTTATGAAGGAGGACAGGCATAATGGTATTGTGTTTCTATTTCCAGCGACAGCTCTGTGCTTCTGATAACAAGAAGTTTTGCTCTAAAAGTCATCCTGATGCTAAAATGCATGTGTGTCGAAACACCTTTCATTTCAGAGAAGATGCATTTGGTTCATTTATGGCCAACTTTCACCGATGCAGGCTCTCGAGATTTATCTTGCATGTTGTTAGCACTAATGAAGAGAGCACTGAAGGATTTTATGGTGTTATCCTGTGGCTTGCTGCTGCTGTTACTAGTTTAATAGACTTTAACATTAGGATTCTTTTAGGCTGAGCACTAGCCCTTAGGGTGCCAGTGTTAGAACTCACGGAGCCATGGGACTTGTATAGTGATGTGCAAGCAACTGCCTTTCAATAGCTTTATGTGCATATGCCACAATGAACAATGGAAGTGAAGCACCTTTGGGGGGAATATTTGTCTCTCTCTTATTCCTACTTGAAAGAAAATCCAAAGACCAGAAAAAGTGAGAAAGGAAATTACATATTTTGTATTCAGAGAAATACTGAGGTTTTATTTCCAGCGATCTGCAAACTATTCAGAACATTACACAGGGAAAGATAGTAGGTTCAGACTTTATGTTGATTAAATGTCATTGGGCTCAGTTTGCTAACCAGTGGGGGTTACTATCCATTCACAGCCATGCTGTGATAGGCAGAAGTGGAACCTGTTCTTTCCTGTATTCAACCTTTCAGAAACCACAGAATGTTGTGAAAGATTGCTGGAGAGAGAAGGGAAAGTAGCAAAACTGTTGGGCAGCTTGACATAGAGTGTGATTCCTGACCAGCTGAGAGGAAAAAGGTTAGGAGGAAGAGTGCTGAAGTTCAGAGAACGCTTTCAAAGGATATGATTGTAACAGAGAGAACTGAGTATATTGAGCCCCTAAGCCTAGGAAATGAAACTGTTCCTGTTTAACCACTACTTTAAGGGAGTTATTATGTCCCATCTACACACTACTGAGACCTAAAGACACATACTATTGTTACTTTTCAGAATTACTCTGTTTTCCTTAAAATAATCCAGAGTGGGTTTTAGAGAATGGGTAAAGTCAGTACCAGGATCACAAGAAAAGGTAATCTAAAAGTAGGCTTTGCACAGCTTAAAGAGCTGGGTATGCTTAGCTTGAAGAAGAGAAGGCTGAGAGGAGACATGATAGCCATATATGACTATGTGAGAGGAAATCATAGGGAGAAGGGAGCAAGGTTGTTTTCTGCTTCCCTGGAGGCTAGGACATTGAACAATGGCTTCAAGCTACAAGAAAGGAGATTCCATCTGAACATTAGGAAGAACAGTGAGAGCTGTTCAACAGTAGAACTCTCTGCCCAGGAGTTTGGTGGAGGCTCCTTCTTTGGAAGCTTTTAAACAGAGGCTGGATGGCCATCTGTCAGGGGTGCTTTGAATGCGATTTTCCTACTTCTTGGCAGGGGGTTGGATTGGATGGCCCACGAGGTCTCTGCCAACTCTGTGATTCTAAGTATAGCACCAGCTGCTTCCATCTCTACTTTCTGTTGTAGAAAGATAGGAGTAGTGTTTTGCTTCATAAATAGCACCATCTACAAGTGATGTTCTGGTCTTTTATGCCTTCAAGAGACCCGAACATGAACCAGTGAATTCAAATTACAAGAAAAGGGATTCCACCTAAGCATTAGGAAGAACTTCTTGATGGTAAGAATTGTTTGTCAGTAGATATAGACTGCCTCAGAAAATAGTGGAGAGGCTTTCTTTGGAGATCTCAACTGTTTGAAATTTATTCAACAAATATGGTGACCTCGCTGTTTTTTGACCAGCATTAGTGGCTACAAGGCTTAAGGAAGAGAACGTAGCACAGTGTGCATGGAGAGGACCCCTGTTCCTCTACAGAATTAGCCGAGCACATTTTGTGTACTCGGGGATCTTTAGTCTAAAGTACGAAATATCCCTTCCCAGCTCAGTCTCCCATAGCTTCTTGGGTTATAGGAAAGAGGGATTCTTCTCTCTTGGTGCATGAATTTTGATTGATGTATGAAGGCTTAATTATGTGACAGTAATGCATTTATCCAATGTCTGTTATGTTGAAGCTCCCGTTATGTTCTGTTCAATTGGATTTTGACAAGTTAGTGTTTGCTGTGAGCTGCTTTTCATGTAGTTCACTGCGAGGGAATGATATAAAAAGCAACCAGCTAACCAACCTGATTATTTGATTAATGAAGGCTTGTTTGGTTTTCTAAAAGTCCTTTAGGAACTTTTAGAAAAAGGAGTTGCAAGTGATGGTGCAAGTTATGACAAAATAGAAAAACCTATGGTGGGGTCTTCATAAATTAGAGTTAGGATCATAGTTGGACCACCTAATCCAATACCTGACCAATGCCATGCAGGAATATACAATTTAAGAAATCAAGATTATTCATGGATATGATTATTATCTCAGGGAGTCTCTAAGACCTCCAGGGCAACTCTGTGAAAAGCTTCCCTAGAGATTAATAGGGAAGTGTAAAGGCAAGTTTAAAAAAGTAGATTTTAACTCATGTTTTTCTATTTTCCATATACATGGGGCTGCAGTAGTGCAGCGGGTTAAATCACTGAGCTGTAGAACTTGGCGACTAGAAGGTCACCAGTTCAAATCTGCAGGATAGGGATGAGCTCCCATTGTTAGCTCCAGCTTCTGTCAACTTAGCAGTTCAAAAACATGCAAATAGATCAATAGGTACTGCTTCAGTCCAGCGTATCTGTCCGAACGTATCTCCCTCTACATCCCACCACGGAATTTAAGATCATCTGAGGGGGGCCTGCTCTCGACTCCACCACTTTTCTCAAGCGAGGCTGGTGGGGACGAGGAGCACGGCCTTCTCAGTGGTGGCCCCTCACCTGTGAAACTCACTCCCAGTGGATATCAGGGCATCGACATAACTCCTGTCCTTCAGGAGGAAGGTAAAGATGTGGTTGTGGGACCAGGCCTTCGGGCAATCTGCTAACTAGATAGGACAACCAGGCAATTAGGACCGGCAGGACTGATATATGTGGACTGATAAATGTGGAAGAAAACTCTGAACCATGAGATAGCGAACATTGACTGGCAATAAGGAAGAAGTGGTTTGTATCGGTTTGTATGAAATTTTATTGGTTTTATTGGTTTTAACGGGTTTAGATGCAATGTATTGTTGTTGTTTGCTAATTTGTGTTATTTTGCTTTATTGTTTATTATTGATGTATGCTATGGGCATCGAATTGTGCCTTGGATGTGTAAGCCGCCCTGAGTCCCCTTCGGGGTGAGAAGGGCGGGGTAAAAGTAAACCAAATAAATAATAAAATAAAATTCAGTGGGAAAATAACAACACTCCCTGCAGTCATTCCAACCACATGACCTTGGAGACATTTACGGACAATGCCGGCTCTTCAGCTTAGAAATGGAGATGAGCACCAACCCCCAGAGTCAGACTCAACTAGACTTAATGTCAAGGGGAATCCTTTACCTATACATTTATATAAACAATACTAAAAACATTATCTGTATAATTTCTAGCTTTCACAATATCAGAAATAATTCAAAAACCATAAGAAATACACCATATCGCTTCTCCCCTCTTAGACTGCATGAATAAAATCTACAGTTCTGCCTTTATTTATTCTTTGCAAGATATAAGTTGACGCATTCTCATAGAAACTATTGTTTTCATCTATATTTAATCTTGGTTGGGCTCTTTTTGGCTGAAAATTGTTAGCTTGGGAGAACTTCTTTCAATCATGTTTAAAAGATGTGCTGTTCCCTGGCAGATTTTAACAAGGATTTGCTTATGCATTGTTGAGAAAGTATCTTATTAACAGAAGCTTTAGACCTTTGAAAGTAAATAGCAATCTAGTTCTCAAGTTTTCATGTGTTTGTTTTTGAGATTAAATAGCTTCATCATGTTTCTCCGAAATCCCTTTTAGTAACAAAGAAGCAAACAAAAGAATGACTTGAAGACTATCTAATATTTAACCTGTCCATTACAACAGCCTTGGAGCAGTAGTATAACGATGACTTTAAATTTAATAATAGGCTTTTCTCCACAGCAAAATGCTTTCGAGTGTGAATTCCTGTGGAAATTTTTATTTCAACTCATGTGTGGAGAAAAAGACCAGTCAGCCAAATTATTTGAAATATCTCAAAGAGATTAGTGTCAAGGTTATTGCCACTATGGTAGTAATTTTCTGGTTCAAAAAAAACGAGTGAACGGAAGCTATTATAAGCAAGTATTAGCGTTCCCCCAATGTGTCTTTGGATTAAAAGTATCTTTTGTTTTAATAATAAAAATCAGAACTGTTGTATTTAAAATGTGTATTTTATTATTATCTGGCATATATTTCTCAGGATGCAAGACTTCACAAAACACATGTACGCATTATTTAAT